TGTTGTTGTTTTTTTTTTGCAGGGCCCTTATTGATATTAGCATTTTATGCCGAAGAGGTCACCCTGGTTAAAAACCATTTATTATTACATTATTATGATGTTAATCTAAATGTTTACAACGTACTTCCGGCTTGCGTGCTGTGATCGCGTGACTTATATTTGTGCGTCCCTAGTATGGAGATCAGCGGTGTGTGTTAACAGGCTCAAAAATGGCGGTTGTCGATACCGAAAATAAATCAGATTTAAGACAACTTTTCCAAAATATATCACCATACTTTACTCCAGAGGAATCAGAACATGTTGTACTGTCATTTAAACAGAATTATGGGGGGAAATTCAACTCTCTAGACGATTGCGATCTGCTGAAGTGTTTTCATCTTCTTGAAGAGAATGGGTATGTATCTGAAAACAACCTCAAACTAATCGAAGACTTCGTTGCTTTGAAATCGAGAGGAGAAGAACTCATTAAGGACGCTATGAAAACTTTTAAGGCCTCTCGTCCAGTAAAAGCTGATCCAGAGAAGAAATTGCAGGGACGGAACGATGAAATCACGAAAATCAACCGAAAACTGGCATCAAAAGATTCTGCAGCTTTAAACTTGTTTGGATCGTCTGGTTTGGGAAAGACAAGACTTGCTAAGGAAGTTTGCTCACAATGGCGTGGAACATATCATGTCTTTGATCTTAGAGAAGCAAAGGATATGAGAGCGATTTATTACAACATTCTACATTCTCTCGATCTAGCTGTTCCAGTTGGTTACATTGAACTAAAGAATGTTGTGGCAAAAGTTCAAGAGAAAATAAGAGAGTTGCAGACGAAAAGGGAGGGACATGGTGTTCTGTTTATGCTGGATAACGTGGATCGATTTACCGCAGGACACGGAAAGGACGGAAAGAACTTGAAAACAGCTTTTATACAATTTTTAGAAAAGCTTCTAGAAACCAAAGAAAAAGGGTCTCCCTTGAAACTTTTACTTACATCAAGGGCTCAGTTAAAAGATTCCAAAAAGGTGGAAGATTTTGAAGTCAAGTCCCTGAAAAGATCTTTTTCGGAGAAAATCCTCTTTCCTAAGGGGATGAATGATGTCCAACCCCACCAGATGGATAAATTTGTTAATACCACCAAAGGATCTCCCCTTTTTCTAGAATTACTGGATCCTATTTTGCGACAAGGACGGAAATCTGTTGATGAACTCATCGCAAGACTTGCACTCACTCCAAAGAAATCCAAAGTGGAGGAAGATGCCTCAGAGAAGCCATTCGATTTTGAGGACGATGGAGTAGACATGGGTCAGATATCGGTAGTGAGAGAAACATTCGACACACTTCCCACTGAAAGTTTGAAGGTATCTGCAGTAGTAATCTCCTTGTTTCATGGGCCTTTCTCTGTGCCAACAGCTGCCAAAGTTCTTGGTATTGACCAGTCAGAAGCTATTGCTCAGTTAGAGGGTCTTGCAGCCAGTCGAATCATTTTTGTAGTTGACAAGGAAGCAAAAGAAAGGAAGTATGACATCCATCCACTCTTACAGAAGTATGCTGACAGTATCAAGAGTCAGGAAAACTTTCTTGCTCTCTATCTGGAGGCAAAAGCGCGCTTTTATGAACTCTTCATGTCCAGGATGAAGGAAATTGCCAAACTCATTGAGCCAGACTATGTCAGAGCATTCCATTTATTTGAGACAGACAGAGGAAACTATGAGTTCACTGTTGACATATCTTTGCAACCAAAATATTTCAGTGTTCCAGGTGAATTCCATGAATATACTTTGATTGCCTCCCTTTTTGATGCAATGCTAAATGAGAAGAAAATAATCAAGGTGTTTCATAACTGGGCTGAGAAGTGCCAAGATGATGGAAAGACAGGTACAGTACTTTATAATGAAGTTTTGGTCATGCAATTATTAATTCTTTTAAAAATTTTATGAACTGTGATTTGTAGTTTATTCTTTATACACATATATCTATATATCTGCATCTATATATATATCATTCTACATCTGCTTATCTGTACATCAGTATATCTCCATACTGGTCTCTGAATAATTCTTAAGGTTCTTAAATGGAGAATTTGTTAAAAAATCAAGAGCTTCTTTAGTTGGGGATCATTTCCTTTATTCCTGTGACCTTGATGTTTATTTATGATTCATGGATAAAATTG